CTGTGTCTCACACTCCCCCCTTCCACTCTCTCTGCATCTCTCCCTCCCCCTCTCACACCCTTCCTCCGTCCCTGTCTCTCTCTCTCTCTCTCTGTGTCTCACACTCCCCCCTTCCACTCTCTCTGCATCTCTCCCTCCCCCTCTCACACCCTTCCTCCGTCCCTGTCTCTCTCTCTCTCTCTCTGTGTCTCACACTCCCCCCTTCCACTCTCTCTGCATCTCTCCCTCTGTCTCTCACACCCTACGTCTCTCCCCATCTCTCCATCTCCCCATCCCCTTCTCTCGCCCTCTCTCCCTCCCCCCTCTGTCCCTCTCTCCCCATCCCCCTCTCTCCCTGTCTCTCCCTCCCACCCTCTCACACAGCCCTCTGCCTGCCTCTCTCTCTCTCTCTCGCTCTCCCTCCCCCTATCTGCATCTATTCCCATCTTTCCCTTTCACAGTCTCTATCTCTGCTCATCTCTCTACATTTCTCACACTCTCGCTCTCTACCTGTCTCTCTGTGTCTCTCTCTCTCTGACACACATTCTCTCTTTCCCTCTCTCCTCATCTCTCCCTCACACTCTCTCTCTCTCCACTCTCCCATCTCTCCCTCTCACACTCTCCATCTCTGCTCATCTCTCCTCCCCACTCTCCCTCTCACTCTCATCTCTCCCTTTCTCCTCATCTCTCCATGTTTCTCACACTCTCATTCTCTCTCCGTCTCTCGCTGTGTCGCTGTGTCTCTCTCTCTCTCTGACACACATTCTCTCTCTCCTCGTCTCTCCATGTTTCTCACACTCTCCCTTTCTCCTCATCTCTCCTCTCCACTCTCCCTCTCATCTCTCTCTCTCTCCTCATCTGTCCATGTTTCTCACACACTCATTCTCTCTCCGTCTCTCGCTGTGTCTCTCTCTCTCTCTCTGACACACATTCTCTCTCTCCTTGTCTCTCCATGTTTTTCACACTCTCCCTCTCTCCTCATCGCTCCTCTCCACTCTCCCTCTCTCACTCTCATCTCTCCCTCTCTCCTCATCTCTCCATGTTTCTCACACTCTCATTCACTCTCTGCCTCTCGCTGTGTTTCTCTCTCTCTCTCTGACACACATTCTTTCCCTCCTTGTCTCTCCATGTTTCTCACACTCTCCCTCTCTCCTCAGCTCTCCTCTCCACTCTCCACTCTCCCTCTCTCACTCTCATCTCTCCCTCTCTCCTCGTCTCTCCATGTTTCTCACACTCGCTCTCCATGTCCCTCGCTGCCCCTCTCGGGTAGTTACCGTCTATGGAATGATATACCACGTGGAATGAACGCCCACTGCCCCAGACCCAGGGGGTGAAATGTTCTCTCAGGGAGCCACAACATTGAGCAAACCCCGTGTCTCCATGGTAACAGAAACCCCTGGTCTGGGGGTGCGTACCTGCTCCGCGACTCCACGTCTGGGTTTGTGTTATCAATAACCACCCGCTTTCCTTCAGCCAGAGCCCGCTCACACATTGCCACACACTTCTGCCAGGATCCCAGTGTGTCCTGGGGTAGGGAGACAGCAGAGGTGAGCACAGACTGGCAACTGGCATTACCACGAAGATTATCGCCCGCTCCGTCACGCTCCCCCAGCGCTGACCCTCCGACAGTCCCCGCTCCCTCAGCGCTGACCCTCCGACAGTGCCCGCTCCCTCAGCGCTGA